AGAGAGAGGAGAGGCAGAGAGAGGAGAGGCAGAGAGAGGAGAGGCAGAGAGAGGCAGAGAGGCAGAGAGGCAGAGGCAGAGGCAGAAGAAGAGGCAGAAGCAGAAGCACGCAGATCACTATGGTTCTAGGACAGCCTGGTCTAAAGAATAAGTTCCAGGACAGACAAGGCTACACAGAGGAATCTTGTCTTAAAAACAACAACAACACAACAAAAAACAAAAACAAAAAGGAAGAAAGGAAGAAAGGAAGGAAGGAAGGAAGGAAGGAAGGAAGGAAGGAAGGAGGGAAAGGAGAGAAGAAAACAAATTACAGCCTAAAACTAGTGACAAGAGTATCATTTTAGCCCAGTGCCTTTCAATCTTCCTAAAACTGTGACATTTTAATACAGACCCTCATGCTGTAGTGAGCCTCAACCATAAAATTATTTTGTTGCTCCTACATAACTGTACTTTTTACTCTTTTGAATTATACTGTAAACAGTTTTGGAGACAGAAATTTGCCAGAGGGGTCATCACCCATAGAGTGAGAACCACTGCTTAAAGTCAACACCAATAGAACTGAATGTTTCACACTTTCTAGAGAGCTTCAATACTCTAAATTAGGATCATAGACAGTGTGGTCTTGTCTATTTTTTCTATAAACATTTTAGTGGTGCTAGAGAGGAGTTTCAGGTGTCTGAATGTGGACTTTCATAAAACTGGTTTGAAGAAATCTGACAGATCCTTCAATCAGAACCTCTGTTGAACATGAGGCCTTCCTCACTAATATATGTTGAAGCCTGCTCAACCAGCATAGGTGTAGACATTTTGTTGCATGCCTGCCAGTCATTTCATATTGTTACTGATACAGAAAAATAGCTTGACTCAGAGCAGGTTCAATCTGACCACATACCCTGTTATGTTCTGAGGCTTGTTAATCTTAAGAAATTCCATAATTATACATTTCACTGAGGACAATCAGAATAAAGGTCAGTTAGAACGGTTCTTGTCTAGCTAGCCAAAATAGCTTGAGTCAGGGCCGACCACTGGACAGCACTTCTTGTATCTGCACATGAGCTTATGGTGCTTTTTGTCTATATACTCTGGCTCTTGGAAACATTTGTGGTTGCAGTTTAGCTTCAGACTCTGTACTGTGTCCCTGATCAATCAGTCTTGGGGTGTGCTTTCAATGAACGAGCTTGTTTAACTGAGGTAAGTGTCTGAGTGGTTTGTGTGACAATTTTCAGACCTCAACAATATATAAGGATATATATATATATCCTCTGCAGCAATTGGGGGTCAACACAGTTCTTTGATCATCAGTCACAGTGGGACGCACTTTCAGAATGCAAGTCTTAAATCAATTTACCCTTACAAACTTAAGTCTGGGGAGGACAGATGCAGGGAAGGCTATGCTTCATTATGTACATTTACATGGTTAATCTTATCCACCAGAAGAAAAAAAAATCCCAAACACTTTACATAACATAAACACAGAATTAAAGGCCTATAGTGAACCTGGTGGTGGTGGTGGTGGTGGAACTTAGGAGGTAGAGGCAGGTAGATCTGTGAGTTTGAGGCCAGTCTGATCCACAGAACAAGTTATAAGACAGTCAGGACTATACAGAAAAACCCTGTTTCAAAAAACCAGACATATAACTATTGTATATGGGAAGTGGGCATGACACTGACCTGGAATGTATTTATTGGAGAACCAGCCATTTCTCCCTATTGGTCTTCTCGGAGTTTCTTCTTCTTGCAGTTTTGTACCTAAAATTAATATTAAAAGCTGTTAGGAAGCCAGATAGTGGTGGTGCATGCCTTTAATCCCAGCACTTGGGAGATAGGTGGGTCTCTGGGAGTTCATATGTGGACATAGGGAACTAGTTTCTAAATGGAGCTACAGATCACTCTACCATGTCAGTATGCATACTCATGGTCCTAAACAATGACACATAGATACAACACAGCAAGAAGAATATGGAGATAAACATGGATACAATATCAACCAACAGATTATGCCTAGCAGCCTTCCAGAAAGCCATCCACAAAAAAGCAGAGGTCTCGCAATCTTCTCAACTTCAAGAAACATGCTCTACTGTGGAGGTGGTAGTGCACGCCTTTAATCAGTCCCAGCACTAGGGAGGCAGAGGCAGGTGGATGGATCTCTTGAGTTCGAGCCTGGCCTGGTCTACAGATCAAGTTCCTGGAATACAGGTATCAACAGCAGACAGAAAACAGAAGAACAAAGGACATGAAAATCAACAGCTGGCATGTGTTTATTCAAACAAGTGAGGACAATGTAGAAAGAGGTTTGTCTTGTGTATAGTTTTCAAGAAATTCCTATCAAAATTTTCTTGGCATTTTTGTAGAAACAGAAAGTGAAAAAATTGTGGGAAACAATGAATAGCTCAAAGATCTTCAAAAGAAGATCAAACCCAGAGGAAATTTAAAAATCTGTTAAAATTATAGCAATAAACCCAGTGAGTGTTGACCTAAAGACAGACAAGAGGACAATGAACATGGAACTTAATACTTTAGAGATACACTAGGCAATTCTTACCAAAATCCCACTGGCATTATATTAGGAAATGGAGAAATTATCCTTAAAAGATGTAGAATCTGAAGGAACTACAAAAAGCTCCAAAATTCAGAGAACAGAAAAAAAAAAGGAGAGGCATCAATTTCCTAATTTTATAATATAATAAAATTATAGTAATGAAAACTATTCAATATTGGTTTCAAGATATGGTCAGTGATATGAATTCAAGATGGACACCATCAATCCCATGCACAGTCAAATAAAGTTACATTTGCTTTTTACTATGAATTCTTACATAATGAGTCTTTCAACACCTATAACAGGATAATCCCAAGGAGATTTTTCTCAGTGGACAGCTCCAGAATCATTCCTAGTGAAGCAGAATGTGGCAAAATCACTTAAACCTCTCACCAACCCCTGCCTCAATTTCTCCCAATATACCTGGGTCCTTTGCTACTGTCTGTCTCTTCTCTCTTCACCATCCAGAGCTCCCTGTTCTACATCATCAGTGAGTCCTGGATATGAGAAAAAGATTCATCAGTAAGTACCAGGATTTTTAACACAGAACTATGTTCAATTAGATAAAAAGAAAACTAAATAGAGGATTTTGCAAATGATTCCCCATCTGTCAGGCGGTGTCAGAACACTGAAAATATTCAGGGAGCGTTTTCAGTTTGCATAACTTGAATCCCACTTCTCATCACAGCTCAGCCAAAACTAAAGGGCAAGAAAGATGGTTCAGTAGCACTCACATTGTGGTTCACAACCATCTGCAATTCCAATTCCAAGGTATCTGCAATATCCAAGATACAACTCACAGACCACAGGAAGCTCATGAACAAGGAAGACAACAGTGTCGGTGCTTTGGTCCTTCTTAGAAGGAGTAACAAAATACTCATGGGAGCAACTATGGAGACAAAGCGTGGGACAGAAACTGAAAGAGGGGCCATACAAAGACTGCTCCACCTGAGTATCTATCCCTTGTGCAGTCACCAAAGATGTGGTGACTTCCTGATGTGGAAGTCAGGAAGTACATGCTGACAGGAGCCCGATATAGCTGTGTCCTTAGAGATCTGCCAGAGCCTGACATATACAGAGGCGGAAGCTTACAGCTAACCATTGAACTGATCAAGGGGTTCCCAATGGAGGAGTTAGAGAGAAGACTGAAGGAGCTGAAAGGGTTTGTGGCCCCATGAGGAGAGCAACAATACCAACCAACAAGAGCTCCCAGGTTCTAAACCACCAGCCAGGGAGAACACAGGGAGGGGCCCACGGCTCCAGCTGTATATATAGGGGAGGATGACAGTATCAGGCATAGGTGTGTGAGGGAGTCCTTGGTCCAGCAAAATCTGGATGCTCCAGTGTGGAGGAAGTCATGGGTGGGGAGGTGAGAGTGGGAGGGTGGGTGGGTGCATATCCTCATAGAAACAGGAGGAGGGAAGATGGGATAGGGGGTTTCTGGGTGGGGGGTGGGGGAAATGGGATTACATCTGAAATGTAAATAAAATATCCAATAAAAAAATTTTAAAAAAAAGGTATCTGACCCCTTCTTCCGGCCTCTGTAGGCACAAGGCATGAAAGTGATGAAGACATACATGCAAGCAAAAACATATGAGCAAATAAAAAATTAAAAAAATTGCAAACCCTTCAAGAGTAGAAATGAAACTTCATGATTGAGATGACAATATTATACACTATGGAGACTCTGAATTTATCATGGAATAAAAATGAAAGAAGCCTAACACTTCCCCAAATGAGAACCACGAGGAATAAAGAACACTTCATAATAATGTTCTTTCCTGCTTTGGGGATTTTTCACTGTAATATGAGATGCGACGTGAGTGAGGTCCATCCCCACAAAGCTCACACACATATGGACCAGTTTGAGAAAGAACCTGAGGATGAGAAAATAATAGTTCATGAAAACTATTCTCATACACAGTAACCAAACGGCTGTGCTTCTACTGTGTAATCTCTCTGAATAAGCACTCTGAGCCACCACTGCGAGTGAAAGGAGATATGTCACAGATGGAGGGAAGGTGGGAGATGCCTGAAAGGCCCTGGTCTCCAGGCCAGTTCCTTATTTGCATTTTATAGTCTACAAGCTTGTGGTGGGGCCAGAGGGAAAACAAGCAGGACCTCCCAGAAGCATAAAGGCAGTTAGCTTGGGGGCTTTTCAAGTGCAGGTTACAGCTGACAGAAGTAAGCTTTGGGGTAAAGTTGCTAAGGACAAGAATTTTGTTTCAGCCACCGCTCCAGGTCATTCTGTCCCAAGTAGCAAGAGGAAGTTGTAGAGCATTACAGCCGTGCTTTAAGTAAACCATTTAATAAATCAGTAATTCAGTATCAAATACATGGTTTTTTCTACTTTATTCTACTTTAATTCTAGTATGAAGTCTCTATGCAAAAAGTCCCCTGAGCAGAGTGTCGGTATTCCCCCTCCTCCTCGGCAAAGTCCATAGCCACAGCACTGAAGATCAACAAATCCTGAAATAAAAGCAACAGTTTGGCTGCGTGCCCTTGAGTAAAGTGCAGTTTATGAACGAAGGAGACATTGGATTAGAGACTTTTTTCTGCTGTAAGAGTCCACAATTATTCAAAGGTCCTTTCTACTGTGGTGCTGCTCTGTACAACGTTCTCTACCTGTGGACAAGCTGTATGTAGCCTGATATCCTCACACTTCGCATGCATAAGACGTCTTTATGGACTCTTAAGATGTAACATTAAGACCCTCACACCCGAATACAAGATTTTGAGTACTGTACTGACATGATAGAATGTGTGCACCTCAGATGGCAGGTTAGTTATAAAATTCTACGTAGTAAATGTTAATGATTACAACCATAATTGTGGAGTTTGTGAAAATATATTTGTGATTCTGTTGTCGATCCTTATGTGACTAATATCTAACAAGTTTTTTACTTTGACCATCCCACTGGCTCTAAATGCCACTCTCTTGAAAAGCTTGAGTAATTTAAAGTACTTTGTTGTTTCCGAATTAATAAAGAGATTTGTGAAGTTATTTTTAAGAGAATACGTTGAAAACCTTAAAAGAAAACAAAATCAGGATTAGTCTAGTTCATACGAGCTCATGAGAGCAGAGTCTGAATTAGTAGCTCAGAAACCGGATCGCACCCTCCTCCGCTCCAGCCCCGCAGCTCCTCTGACCTGGGAGGTTCCAGGGTCGCCGGGCTGCGGTTCCCGCTGCGGGGCCGCTGACTCTCCCAGGATGCCCTGCGCGGCACCTGCGGCTTTAAGGGAGTTTTCACATCTCTGCAAGATCTCGGACACAGTGTCCACGGCCCTGGTCCGGCACTACGTATCCCCCGAAATTCCTTAGAGAACGGCGAGTTTTGCAGATGCCCTCCCCGGCTTTTGGGAATGTTACCTATTCTGGTCCCGCCCACTATGAAGTGTCCTCTCACATGTACCCGATCCCACCCACCTACTTCCTCTTCCGTTTAGTTTCCCGGGTCCCAGCTGTGAACTGGCCTAGAAAAACCTGCAAGTATCCAATGCCCACTGGGCTGCAGAGACCCTGAAGACCTGTCACTTGCCGTGGGAAACCGTGAAAAGGGCAGTGTTCTCTAAGGACTGCAACTTAGAGGCAGACTACAAAACAGTTTTAGAAACTGTTCAATGGAATGAAGGCACAAAGAAAGGGAACAAATATCTGAACGAAACGTAAAAAGGACAGAGCAAAATGACTGGAGATCAAGAAATCACAAGCAAAGGGTGGAGGAGAAAATGAAGACCAAAAAGATGAATTCAATAAGGGGAAGTGTTAAGGAAAACTCAGTATGAAATAAAGGGGAAAAAAGTAAATTCACTGGGTGGTAGTGGTGCAAGCCTGTAAAATTTCAGCACTCGGGAGGCAGAGACAGGCCTGAGTTCAAGGTCAGCCTGGTCTACAGAGTGAGTTACAGCACAGCCAGGGCTATACAACAATATCCTGTCTTGGAAAAAAAAAAATAGAAGCTCTCAGTAAGCATAGACTATATTTCTTGGTATTTTTTCTCTGTTCCTGGCATTTTTGGCTTCCTTGATTCTCTTGGTGAAAAATTGAACATTTCCCTTTGTGTGTGTCTAAGTGTGTATGTGTTGTTTCTTCAGAGCAGTATGTCTTCACTGTTTGTATCACAGGTCATGTGGATTAACAAAACCCTGAATCTTGGACGCTTTGATCATGGGATTCTTTTTTTCTTTGTTTAAAGGCTTGCCGACAACACATTGGCAGGCATCAATTTCTTTACAGACATCGAAAGGAATCCTTCCCTCCC